ACATTTACCGATAAAGCAAAGAAATATCAGCTTTTGTAACACAAGATGAGCCTTACCAATGTAAAGTCATGCAATTTGGAATGAAAAATGACCAGCAAATTTCCGCAATTAACCAAATTTATCAGGGGATGATGTAACAGCATTGTTTACATCGATAACTTGGCTGCGTTCAGCCAAACCTAGCAAGAACAGCTACACCACTTGAACAAACTATTTGACTGACTATGAAGAACCGAGTTGATCACAGATCTGACGAAAAGTGAATTTGCCAGAGTAAAGCATTTTATTTTGGCCACCCTCTAAGACAAGGTCACCGAGTGCACAGAGGTGTGGAATTAAGGGCTATAGTGAATTGCCCCTGCCCAAGAGAAAATGTGAAACTCATGAGTGGATTTTATCAGGGAGTCCATTCTGGATTTCGGTGCTGAAGTGGTTCCTCTGACAAATTTATTGAAGAAAGGCATAAATTGAATGGACAAAGGAAGGGCAATGTGGCTTTGACAACTTCAAAGCTATGCTAACAACTGCACTGGTTTTAGTCACACTGAATAATGGGAAGCCATTCAAACTGGTTATTGATGCTGGAGACATCGGTAAGCATGCTGTTTTACTAGACAGGCAGTTCTGCTATAACGCGTGTTTCGTTAACGCGAATTGGCTGTAACGCAATTGATGAATAGCGGACACTGTTTAGATAACGCAAACTTTCCGCTGTACAGGTACAGCGATTTCCCTAGAACATGATTTTGTATGGCAATTTTTTGTAGCACGAGGTCACACAAGAACACAACTATCACATTATAGGAGAACTACCTGTGAGTAAAATATAAAATAAAATATAAGGCATCAAACAGCCAGTTATATTTTTCACAAATACTAAGTGTTTACCAATAGAAATGTTGAATGATAGAGAAGAGACACTGAGGCTCTACATTAATTTGCACACAGACCAAATTTAAAAGGTTGTCATGTATACAAATCATGATCTGCTAAATGTTTTTGTAGAGATTTTGCAACAAGAATTTAAGCCTGTTTCATTGGGGGTTAAAGTTACAATCATACAATATGGAATCATTCTTGTAACTGGCAAAGACAACATTACAACAGATGCTTTGTAAACAACAACTGAAACTGAATGAAACCAAACCAGTGATCAAACTGGACTTGCAGAGAAAATATGGTTGTTATGGAAATCAGTGTTTTTGTATAACTGTATTGCTGTTTACACAACATAAAAATAATAATAAAAAAAACAAGAGAAAGTGAAAATGGATTTTAATGTTGTGTTTCCTTTTTTCTTTGGAGGAGTTGTGATGCAAAGAGTAGAATATACATTATGTTTTGAGATTTCAATTTCAAAATAGAGGCAGATGGATGTAGGTCAGTTCTGTGAAGGTATTAAAAGTAAAAGGTCAGAAAGTAATTTAGAACAGTGACCTAAGTGTATCAAATCCAAGAAAATATGTGACTTCATTCAAGTGCCTGGCAGTACGCCTGAAGTGTTAATGGATGGAACGTTTATACTATTGAGTTTACAACACACCAGAAAGCAAATACGTTTAGATTTGAATTCAGTTCAGAAGTGAGAAAAGATTCTTTTAGCAGAAGAATCAAGCTTTTAGTTCAGGAAACTAGTTACCATAGTCAAAGCGTTTGAGTTTGTGGAGCTTCTAAGCCAGAAGAGCATGTTGTTAGAAATGAAAAGTTTTATCCATCAGAATTGTGTAGGCTTCATGCCAACAGACTTTGAAAGGAATTATCAAACTGTTGAGTATCTGTAAAAGGTTAGTGTTGGGAAACAGATTGAAACTTTGTTTTATTGTACCATTGAACAAAGAACAAAGAACAAAGAAAATTACAGCACAGGAACAGGCCCTTCGGCCCTCCAAGCCTGCGCCGATCCAGATCCTCTATCAAAACCTGTCACCTATTTTCCAAGGATCTGTATCCCTCTGCTCTCTGCCCATTCATATATCTGTCTAGATACATCTTAAATGACGCTATCGTGCCCGCCTCTACCACCTCCGCTGGTATAAATGCTTTGAATCAATCAGTTAAATGGATAATTGTTTCTCTTTTGTAATGCCACGCAGAATAAAAATGACTTTTGCCAGGTTTCTAAAACGAAAAAATAACCTAATTACTATAAAACAAAACTCATTTCAAAAACACAAGTGACAACACCAGTTAGTATCTAAATTATGATCCAGAATTAGAATAGCGTCCCATTTTATAGAGTCATACAGCACGGAAATAGACCCTTCAGTTCAACCACGTTATCCAAACTGGTACCACTTGCCTGCATTTGGGCCATATGCCTCTAAACTTTTCCTATTCATGTACCCGTCCAAATGTCTTTTAAATGCTGTAACTGTACCTGCATCTACCACTTCCTCTGGCAGTTCATTCCACACACCAAACAACCTCTGTGTGAAAAGGTTGCCCCACAGGTCTTCTTTAAATCTTTCTCCTCTCACATTAAAAAATGCCCCCAAGTTTTGGACTCCCCCACCCTCAGGAAAAGACGTTTGCTATTCACCTTATCTATGCCCCTCAGATTTTATAACCTCTATAAGGTCAATCCCCACCTCCTATGGTCCAGTGAAAAAAGTCCCAGCCTATCCAGCCTCTCCTTATAACTCAAACCCTCCAGTCCTGGCAACATTGCAGTAATTCTTTCCTGAACCCTTTCCAATTTAATAGTACCATTCCTTCTAACAGGGCAATTAGAACCATACACAGTACTCCAAAAGTGGCTTCACCAATGTCCTGTACAACTTCAACATTATGTCCCAACTTCTATACTCGATGGTCTGAGCAATGAGGTTGTTGACTTGCTCGCCGAGCTGGCTTGTTCTCATTCAGACGTTTTGTCACCATGCTATGTAACATCATCAGTGAGGCCTCTGATGAAGCAACGTTGTTCTACTCCGCTTAGTATTTATATGGTCTGTTACAGTGAGTAGTGTCATTTCTGGTTTTGTTCTGTATAGGTTTGTACATGGAGTCTAATTCTATATGTTTGTTAATTGCCTTATGGGTTAAGGACCATGCCTCTAGGAAGTCCCGGCGTGTCTATGTTTGGCTCAGACTACTATGGTTACCTTGTCCCAGTTAAACTGATGGCCTTCATTGTCTGAGTGTACTTATATTAAGGAGAATTCGTCGTGCCGTTTTGCTGCTAGCTTATGTTCATGTATTCTAACAGCTAGTTTCCTTCCTGTCTGTCCGATGTAATGTTTGTGGCAGTTGTTGCAGGGTATTTTGTAAACCACGTTGGTTCTGCATTTTGGGGGGATGGGGTCTTTAAACCTTGTGAGTGTTTGTCGTAGCATGGCTGTGGGCTTGTGGGCCACCGTGATTCCTAGTGGTCTTGGGAGTCTTGTTGCCAGTTCTGATGCGTTCTAATGTAGGGCAGTGTGGCCAGTGTGTTAGGGCGTACTGTGTCCTCTTGTTGTTGTCTGTTGAGTAGGCACCTGCGGATGAAGTTGCGGGGATATCCGTTCATAGCGAAGATTTTGTATAGGTGCTCTTCCTCTTTCCTGCGTAGTTCTGGCGTGTTGCAGTTCGTGGTGGCCCAATTAAATAGTGTCCTAACACAGCTTTGTCTGTGGACGTTGGGGTGGTTGCTGTGGAGGTTGAGGATTTGGTCAGTGTAGGTTGCTTTCCTGTATACTGAGGTTTGGACCTCCCCATGGGTCATACGTTCAACTCTAACATCCAGAAATTCCCAGAGGCATGGTTCTTAATCCATAAGGCAATCAACAAACATATGGAATTGGACCCCATATACAAACCCACACAGAACAAAACCGAAAATGACACTACACACCATAACAGACCTAAATTTCAAGTGGAGTAAAATAACATCGCTTCATGATGATGTTACCTAGCATGGTGACGAAACATCTGAGCAAGAACAAGCCAGCTCGGTGAGCAAGTCAACAACCTCACCCACAACCCAACTACAAATCTTTGCTAAAACTTTAAAGGTCTGAGCAATTTTAATCCCAACACAAACACACTCACACAACACAAAACAGAAGGACCTCTAGGGATTATATTTTTAAACAGGACAAAAGAAACACCCAGATTAGGCTCTCCCATGTCCCAGCCTCCTACCCCACATACCAGGTCTTATTACCACATAGCCTGCCATTACACACCCCCTGTTGTTAGTCACTAACAGTCCCCATTAACAACTATTCACCCTCCCAGCCTGATCGTTAGCAACTCCTTTGTCTGTCCAACTGAATTTCTCTCTCTTTGGGCTCTATCCTATCGTTTACTCCCTACCCCACCCACCTCCCTATTTTCTGCATATAAACTGACGATTTCCCAGCCACCACCAGTTCTGAGGAAGGGTCACCGGACTCAAAATGTTAACTCTGTTTTTTCGTTCACAGATGCTGCCAGACCTGCTGAGCTTTTCCAGCAACTTCTGTTTTAGTTCCTGATTTACAGCATCCGCAGTTCTTTTGGTTTTTATTTGTGTACAACTGAGAACAGCTGTCTGCAGAGGGGCGAGAGAAACTGTGCCAAGGTGATACTCAATCCTCTCTCAGATTAGCTTTCAGGTTCAACTACATGGGGGATTTTAGTTTTCCTTAATTTTTTTGCTGTTCCTCAATTTTGTTTTTCTGGGACTCTGACATTACATCACAGTGTCTTAGAGTATTCAGTCCTATAACTTGAGAAAAATACATGGGGAGCATCAATGTTACGGTTTTAGGATTTTTAAACAATGTAAAACTCATTGGGATCAGCTAAAGGGAAATTTTCATAGGCAGCTCTTATGATCGCTATAAACTGACATGCACCCTCACCCACCCCAAATCAGGAAAATTGTGATGGAGCCCACTTCTGTTTTTTTTCTGCTGGTCTGAAATAGATTTCTGAAATAGATTACATTTTGCAATGTAACGTCTGAACAGGAAGTCAGCATCTATGCAATACACATATATCCATCACTAGGGGGCAGCCAATTCTGTGATACATACCACAAACTTCCCAACATCTTTCGATTTATTGCTGTACAGTCGAGCTAGAAAAAGAAGGAAGGCCATTATTAAAATAATGCAAGAACAAAAGTTGGGGGGAGTGACAGCCCAGTGTTATTATCATTGGACTGTTAACCCTGAGACCCAGTCTATGTTCAGGGAACCCCACCAGAGCAGATGATGGAATTTGAATTCAACAGAAAAGAAATCTGGATTTAAGAGTCATGAATGATTTTTTTTAAAAAAGAGAGCAGGGCAGATATGGGTGCACAGATGGACAGAATGACCCAGAAAGAATGCACAGGGAGAGGGGGAGACAGTGCACAAGAGGGAGGAAGGGAAGAGAGAGAGAGAGAGACGCACACAGAGAAATGGATACCCAGTATTGAGACAGAAGGAGACATTAACACAGAGCAAAAACAGAAGTTGCTGGAAAAGCTCAGCAGGTCTGGCAGCATCTGTGAAGAAAAAATCACCGGTGACCCCTCCTCAGAACATAAACACAGAGCAATCGGAACCCAGCGATGATGCACAGAACGAGGTGGAGAGAGCGAGAGAAAAAGAGATACACATACAGCAATAGTAGGACCTGCAGATGCTGGAGAATCTGAGATAACAAGGTGTAGAGCTGGATGAACACAGCAGGCCAAGCAGCATCAGAGGAGCAGGAAGGCTGACGTTTCAGGTCTAGACCCTTCTTCAGAAATGGGGGAGGGGAAGGGGGTTCTGAAATAAATAGGGAGAGAGGGGGAGATGGATAGAAGATGGATAGAGGAGAAGATGGGTGGAGAGGACACAGACAGGTCAAAGAGGCGGGGATGGAGCCAGTAAAGGTGAGTGTAGGTGGGGAGGTAGGGAGGAGATAGGTCAGTCCAGGGAGGACGGACAAGTCAAGGGGGCGGGATGAGGTTAGTACGTAGGAGATGGGGGTGGGGATAGGTGGGAGGAAGAACAGGTTAGGGAGGCGGGTACGAGCTGGGCTGGTTTTGGGATGCGGTAGGGGGAGGGGAGATTTTGAAGCTTGTGAAATCCACATTGATACCATTGGGCTGCAGGGTTCCCAAGCGGAATATGAGGTGCTGTTCCTGCAACCTTTGGGTGGCATCATTGTGGCACTGCAGGAGGCCCAGGATGGACATGTCATCCAAGGAGTTGAAATGGTTCGTGACTGGGAGGTGCAGTTGTTTAGCGCGAACCGAGCATAGGTGTTCTGCAAAGCGGTCCCCAAGCCTCCGCTTGGTTTCCCCGATGTGCAGGGGAACATCTGCTTGATGTGGAAAGTCTTCTTGGGGCCTGGGATGGGAGTGAGGGAGGAGATGTGGGGGCAGGTGTAGCACTTCCTGCGTTTGCAGGGAAAAGTGCCGGGTGTGGTGGGGCTGGAGGGGAGTGTGGAGCGGACAAGGGAGTCCCGGTGAGAGTGGTCCCTCCGGAAAGCAGATAAGGGTGGGGAGGGAAAAATGTCTTTGGTGGTGGGGTCGGATTGCAGATGGTGGAAGTGTCGGAGGATGATGCGTTGGATCCGGAGGTTGGTGGGGTGGTACGTGAGGACGAGGGGGATTCTGTTTTGGTTGTTATTGCGGGGAGGGAGTGTGAGGGATGAGTTGCGGGAAATGCAGGAGACACGGTCAAGGGCGTTCTCAACCACTGAGGGGGGGAAGTTGCGGTCCTTGAAAAATGAGGACATCTGAGATGTATGGGAGTGGAATGCCTTATCCTGGGAGCCGATGCGGCGGAGGCGAAGGAATTGGGAATAGAGGATGGCATTTTTGCAGGAAGGTGGGTGGGAGGAGGTGTATTCGAGGTAGCTGTGGGAGTCGGTGGGCTTGAAATGGGTATTGGTTTCTGGGTGGTTGCCCGAGATGGAGACAGAGAGGTCCAGGAAGGAGAGAGAGGTATTAGAGATGGTCCAGGTGAACTTAAGGTTGGGGTGGAAGGTGTTGGTGAAGTGGATGAACTGTTCGAGCTCCTCGTGGGAGCACGAGGCGGCGCCGATACAGTCATCAA